ACTGTGTCCCATCAGGTCCTTCTTTGTAATGGACACCCCTGTAGCCCATGGCCATAAACTACAGTCTAAGATCTAGCTATTATACACTGTGCTTATCCCCTCCAGCATACACAGTACACCATTCCTACTTTTCTGGTCTGAAGGGAGAAGTTGTGCTCCACATGCAAATCCTTTTATTGTTACTGCAATGGACAGTCCCACTGTATGACTCAAACTGGTAATTTTAGAGCTCAGTGGTGCAGGATACTTGTAATCTAAGAATGCATAATGGTTAGCCAAGAGCAGTGCCCCGTGGGACTGTAGACAGGATTCAAGTCCACCTCAATAAGTACAGGGGACACTGAGTCACAGCTGCTTTCCTAAGAGCTGAAAAACACAGCCATTCTAGAATTGTTATACTCTCCTGGGACACAAGGTTGTGACCCTGTAATGGCCCCTGAGTAGCAAGCAGGTCAGAGGTCTTTGATGGAGAAGTGGGTCTTCTGGCTGGTTGTAAATCATGGTTGTCTCATTTGTTATAGGAGTGTACCTTAATGCCTGATTAATCCCGGTGAACAAACATTTGCAATTCATGATACTAATCTCTAATAGGCATGATGTGCATGCTACTCATCTCTGGATATTTGGGATGCAGCCCTCCCTCACTTAAATTCTACTTTGTGTGACTTAATGTCTCCTAAGAACCTTTAAATCCTCACACCATTAATTCTATTATCAACTATACTCGTCTACATCACAGTTTAGTAGTGGAGCACTACTCTACACAGGAGAAACCATTTACAAACCACAAGAAATTAACTACAGATGGATCTCAAACCTAAATGTTAAAAGTACAGAACTTCTGAAGACCCAGGAGAGACCAGGAGTCTACACGTTTGGCAAATGTGCTGATATCTCTCCACATGTGACAATATAAGCACGACAGTCACCACCACCTGCAGCTCCCAACGCGGTGCTCTGTGCATACACAGCCTGAGCAGTGAAGGGATTTAGAGACTGCCAGCAAAGAGCTGCAAGTTTAGGACTACTGAGGCGGGAAGATGCTAAACTCTGTCTGTCTGCCGGCTCCCACCCAGCCACCACACGGGCCTTGAGCCCCAGTGGCTGCTCCACCTAGTTTAGGGACATTGGCCCCTCTCTCGCCAAGCCCAGCCACTCCTCCCATCTGTGGAGAGCAACCCCTCACTCACCATGGTGCAGCTGCCGAGCTGACATGCTATCCACCCACAAGGGAGCCCAAGTCAGAGCTCATGAGAGCTGAACCAGGATGGAAGTCCGGCTCCCGGAAGAACCCTCCCATCTGACAAGCAGGTCTGCTGGAGGCTCTGATTGGCTGGTGAGGGCTGAGTGACGGGATCATGTGAGCAGAAGGGACTCAGCACTGTGGTCCAGCACTGGCTTCTAATCTGAAGACAGACCTGTCCCAGATTGGCTGGAATTTTATGCCAAATTCAAGAGAGTCTCTTGCTAATGTAAATCAATGAGTTCGGTTTTAAAAGAAAGTATACAATTTCAGAAAATTAACTAAAATTAAACTAAATAATCCGGCATTAAAAAAAAAAGAAATGAACTGGTTGATGGAGGCTCTACAAAGAAGGTCTCTGCGTGTTTAAGGCCAGACAACTAGGAATGCTACACAGAAACCCTGTCTCTAGAAAAAAAAATCACAACAATTTTTGAGAAGCTGCATTTGAGCTTCTGCTGGTGAGTATTTATTGATCTGACATATGTGGGTGGTGGGGAAGGGATTTCTAAAAGAAATGGTCTGTGGCCTGAAGAGGCTGCAGGATCTGAGAATGAATTCCAGTGGCTGCCACCAGAAGTGAACTGGGGTGAGGCTTCAGGTCTCCGGAGATGGTATGTAGCTAGCTTTGACCTTGCCAATAGGCCCCAGTCATATGTTAATGTCAGGGCCTGAAGTTCTTCAAAAGGGAATGAATGGAGACCCTTTCTTATCTAAATGCCTGACTTTGGGAAAAGGACTTGTGGGAAGCAGGCAGCACTTGAAACTAAGATTTGTTGTCTTTGTCTTGCCTTTGGGACCCGTTCTCCCCACCCAGAATGCTCCCACCCAAAAGGGAAGGTCATGACATCTTACTCTTTTCCTTTGATACCTTCCTACCTACCATTCTCATTCTGTACTGATTCCTAACCCTAACTGAACTCTTCCACTGTAAATAAATAAAGTAAGCAAATATGTAAACAGATGAATGAACGAATGACAAACAAACCACCAAACAAGCTTATAAAGAAAAAGTTCACAGTTGTTAATTGGCTTTTGTTTTCATAATGAAAACTTTTGACATGTGACCTAGAAAGTGTCTGGGAGGATAACTTTATACTCAACACCCTCTCTCTTCTCTCTCTGTCTCTATCTCTCTCACTCTCTCTCTGTCTCTCTCTTACACACACACACACACAGAAACACTTGAATAAAATTTAAAACTAAATATACAATAAAAGGAAGCAAAACACATTTACTATCATCATCTCAGTACTCAGGAGGCAGAGTGAACTCTGTGAACTCTGAAAGTCATGTTTTCCAGGCAGGGCTATGTAAAGAGATCCTCACATCAATATATGAACAAAGAAACATAGTGTAAGATTCCCGGTTAGGGTGTTTTTCCTTCGGGGACCACGACGCCCAAGAACCAAGACTAGTCCACACTGGATGCAAAAGCAAGAGGTAGTTTATTCACACAGGCACCTGGAACGCAACAGCCTTCGGGTGACTGCTGCGTGCCAGGCTGAATTTCGGGGCTGATTATATAGCAAGAAGCATGTTTACAGAAGCAGATGCATTCTCAGTGGTTATTTCAGATAAAACGATGGGGTTAGGTTAGGGGCAGGTCAGAGAAATATATTTCAGATAGGGTCAGGTTAGGGGCATGTCAGGGAAATATATTAGCCTGTTGGCGAAGGCTGACCTCTAAGTATCTGACTATAGGTATCCTGTTTTCTCATCATCAGGACCCATCTAGTCTCAGGGTGATTGTGCTGGTCTGGGAACAGCTTGACCTGGCTGCAATGGAGATTCCAGACAGGTGGGGGTTGTTATTCTTTGCTATCACTTTAAGAACTAACCATGCCCACCTCAGCCACTTCGGCCCTCCCTCGCCGCCATCCTCTCTCTCTCTCTCTCTCTCTCTCTCTCTCTCTCTCTCTCTCTCGCGCGCGCGCGCGCGCGTGCGAGTGTGTGTGTGTGTGTGTGTGTGTGTGTGTGTGTGCGTGCGCGCGTGTGTATGTGTGTGAGTGTGTCTTTGTTTTATGTTTGTCTATATCTTTCTTTTTTAAGTAATAAATGTCTAGCTTTATGTATAACCTTATGTCCATTTACTCTGCCATTCACTGTATCCAGCCGCCTGACTCTGCCGCTCGCCCCGGGACCCTGCACTGTTTTGGTGGCAGCAGCCTCTGTCTGGCTCACATGCCGCCGGGGCCATCCCATCATCATATCTTTTTAAAAGAACAAAAGGGGTCTTCTCATTTCTCCCCCCCTTTTTTTGTAAACCCATTTATTTATTAGGGAACTTCTGTCTCCATTTGCTTTAAGACCTGGTGTTGGTTGGTTAACACTAGTGCTTGTGAAAGACTCCCCGCTGGGCGTCTTCCCTCGGGAAGGACCCCGTGTCCAGAGACCAGTCGAAAACATGCAGCCAGATGCAAACAGCAGGAGGTTTATTGGTGGATACATAGGTACCTGCGGGCGACAGAGTCTCTCGGGGACTTGCGCGCCTGCAGGTTGGGGATGAGGGGTTTTTATAGGGGAGCAAAAGCGCGGGTACAGAAGCAGAAAAGCTTTCATTTCATTGGTCAGTTCAAATAAGGTTAAGCTGAGTGGCACATTCTTGACCTTTTACCTAAATACCAAGGAGGGGGTTGTCCAGACCCACCTGGATACCAAGGAGGGGGCTGTGCTACCTGTTTTTCTTATCTCTTCCTGCCTTCCTAGCTTGGCTGGTGACTAGATGTCTGATTTGCACAGCCCCTGACTCGTGAGAGGCTCGCTCTGTACGTGACTCAGGCCTCGCAATCCTCTCTTCCTCCCTTGAAGTCTTTGTTCCTACTCATGTCAGTTCATAAATCTCCTGTCCTGCTGCCAGATAAGGCTGTCCTCGTTCTAATCTCAGGTGTCTTTGCTTTAGCATTCTGGAGGTCTTGAATTAAGCCTGTTATTTGTTCAGCACTCTGGAGGTCCTGACTCCGGAGGCCTTAATGGAGCTTGCTATCTGAAAACCTTTGCAGAGCGTTATAACTGTGGTTAAAGTTAAAACCACAGTTTTAACTGTGACCCCAATGAAGTTGGGGTCCTTCACTTGTATGACTGACAAACAGTCTTTAACAAACTGGGTCAGGCAATTAAGGATGCAGGGACCAAAAGTATAGATTCACTCAAACCAACTCTGCTGTGATTTAAACTCTCGTTGTCTCTTGTCTAGCCTCTCTTTGAGTTTATCCAGGGGCTCAGTTACTACCCCTGTCTGATCCATATAGAAGCAACATTCTTCTTTTAAGGCTATACAAAGACCTTCTTCCTACCCTTAATAACATGGCCAGAGTAAGGGACAGTGGTTCCCTCTTGAATTTTTAAGGGGAACCTTTATAATATGGTAACACAGTCCCATCAGAATAATAATGTATGCGTAGTCATAGCTGGACTAACACGCAATAATCTTGGGTCAAATTTAAAACAGAGGCTGACACACAAGGAGTTAACCCAGTACTACATGCCCAATAGGTTTCATCTGGGGGCACCAAGTAATAATTGCCAGTTAAAATACTTATGGTCTCGTTGCAAATGCCTAGGGTAGAAGGGGGGTGTCCAATGCAAGTGCCTGCTCAGGTCACTTGAGTTAGAGTTAACTGGTGCCCTGTTCCCATGTATGCGCTGGGAGGAGAGCTAGAGTGATTGGAGAAATTTCCTATGAGGGCTATGCCCTCATAATATGGTGGACTGGGATTTAATTTTTAGGCTAGCTCTCCTTTTTGGGTCTCCATAGCCAAATTGCCCTCCTGGGGAGAATCTTTTTCCCTGGGCTATTACTGGTAACCAACGTGGGTTGATATCAGGCAGATAATGAACAGAAATCTGGGATAAAGCAAGGAGGGCCAGGGTTATTGTCAATGCTAAGCCCTGACAAGTCTTATCTTTAACAGGTTTTGAGAGCACTGGAGACTTCATGATGATCCTCGGTTCTGATCGCCGCTGAGATGTCCCGGCTGGGCCACTTTGACCTGTGATGCAAGGATCCAGGCAGCAATTCCGTCAACCTTCAGTGCCATGGGGGTGGTAAGGAGTATGGTGTAGAGTCCTTTCCAGCAGGGTTCAAGGTTCTGGGACTGATGTCTCCGGACATATCAACGGATGTGAAGTCTCTGGGTGTTTGGGCTGGTAGGCAGCAGTCAGGAGCTTCCATATCTGGGCTTGGACAATTGGAAGGGTCTTTAGGTGGACAGATGACAGTCTGGGAAGAACAACATCAGGATTATGTACCTCATCCACCTTAGTGAGCGGTGGCAGCCCTCATATAGGATTTCATAAAGAGTGAGTTTAAATCATCCTGGGGTGTTTCAAACCCAAAACAGGACAGAGGGAAGGGAGGTCTGTCCAGTCATTTTTGCCGTTCTCTAGGGACAATTTTGTCAAATTGTAAAAATTTTCTTTTAGAATTTTATTTATCCTATCTATCTGACCTGAGCTTTGGGGTTGGTAAGCATAATTTAATCTTTAATTAATCCCCAGTATCTTGGCCATGCCCTGACTTACCTGGGCAACAAAGGCAGGTCTATTATCGGACATGATTACCTTGGGCATTTCAAACCTCAGGAAGATTTCTTTTATGATCTTTTTAGCCATTACATTGGCTGTCTCAATCCTGGCCAATGTATGTTGGCTATCTTCTTTGGCAAATGTGTGGCCTTGAGGAAGTTCAAAATTTTGCCATCTGTAGAGTTTGTATCAAAGCCACAAGTTTAGCCTTCTGGATGGGCCAACGTCCCTGAAGGGAGGCTACTCACCCAAATCATTTGCTTCCTGTTCACCATTGCTACCCCCGCCTTTCGCTTACCTTCAGTCTTGTATGCCTGCTTGGCTCCGACCCTCAGCCTTGTGCCCCAGGCAAGCTTTGCCATCATTTCCGGGTCTGCCAGGCACAGCTCAGCCTGCTTTTCTGCCAGCCGCCTGTCCTTTCTGCAGATGCTGGTAGGATCCATAGTCCATTGATGTGAGCAGGACACAGGAGCAGCAGCCCAGTGCAGGAGAGCACCTGTGGTCACATTGCGAGTGTTCTATTGCAGTCTGACATGGGTGAGGGGAGCAAGACTGCAGGGTGAGTAGTCAGGGCTCATGCAGGCTTTAGGGCAAGTGCAGCATCAAGGCAGTTGCTAGGAGGCAAGGATTTCTCTGGTACTGTTGGCAGGGGGAGGTGGTCATCCTGGTGAGGAGGACATGGTGGAGGCAGATGCAGGTAAGCAGCCTGAGTCTCCTGCAGAACTGAAAACAGCAGGAAAGGCGAAAGTCCCTTGTTTGGTCAACAAAAGGCTTTGATTATATACATTCAGGGATGACCAGGGAGGAAGGAGTCATTTATTTGTCTCAGTCCTTTTTCCAAATTTATAGTTCGTAAGGTGTCCAGTTTGTATTGATGGTTGTTTTAGCACAGAGTACTCAGTTCCTGTGTCCCTTAAAAAATCTATAGAGGTATCTAATGTCCTTTTCCTTGCCATAAGCACATTGGCCTTTGTCCAAGGGGTGCCTCTGTCCATCTTTATTTGTCTTTGGTCTTCTGTTGCCCAGGCTCCCTATCTGTCTTGAGTCCAAATTTCTTGTCTATGATCCCTTCGGTTTTCTCTTTTCTCTGCCTCCCACCTTCCTCTTTCTTTCTCTCTACTTTCTCTGTCTCTCATTTAACATTTTCTCTGTCTCCCCAAATTCTGCAAAGTATCATCTTGGAACCTATCTACCTGCTGTCCTTATATCTGATGTTGACTGTCCTATGAAGGCCATGGCTATTGTTGCCTGCTGACCTTCAGAGGTTAAGCAAAATGTCTGTAAATCTTTATTAAACATTTAAGGAACATAGATTTTAATTGGCCCCTGGAGAACCTCTCTTACCTTGGCCGAATTAGTGGAGTGCCTAGCAGCCCCCCCCTGAGATTTAAAATAAGCCCAGCATTTTGACTGTCAGTTTCTCCCTTTAAGGATTAATTAGACATCATCATGTAGAAGAATGAAAATAGATCCATATTTATCTCTATGCACAAAACTAAAATCCAAACAGATCAAAGACCTTAACATAAAGCCAACAATATTGAACCTCATAGAAGAAAAAAAAGGTTTTAAATACATTTTTAAACATAGCCTCAGTGGCATAGACATTGAGAGAAACAATCAATAAATGAGATCTCCAGAACTGAGAAGCCTTTTGTATAGCAAAGGATACAATCAACAGAACATAAAGACATATAAGGAACTTAGAAACTTAATCTTCATAAGAACAATAATCCAATAAAATTATGTTACAGACCTAAACTGTAAACTCTCAACAGATGAACTTAAAATAACTGAAAGATATTTAAAATTTGTTAAATATAACATTCTTAATCATCGGGGAAATGCAAATCAAACAATTATGAGATTTTTGTCTTATCCCTGTAAAAATGACCAAGATTAAAAATATTGTTTGACAATTTACGCTTAAAAGAATGTGGGATAAAAATAAACTGATACAGTTACCTTGAACAATAGTATGATGAATTTCAGAAATTTTCAGAATTATTATCTTAAAACTCAGCAATATCCCTTCTGGGCCTATTTATAAAAGATGTTTAGTTATATCATAAGGACATGTGTTTAACTATACACATAGCAGAATTATTTTATCATAGGCAGAATCTGAAAACAACCCATAATGTACCTCCTTTATATCAATAATAAATGAAAATCATCATGTTTTTAAATAGCCATAAATATTATAAAGAATCAAAAGGCCATTTTAATTTAATCTCATCATTCAGCAACATTATCATTGCCATTATAGTGGGGTGAGAGGCTTCAGCTGATCTTCGCCATGAGGGGCAACTAGGGCCCCCCAACCCATCACAAGTGTTGTGAGCACCTAAGGGTCAATTTTAGATCTAAACATGGGCCGTTTACATGGCCCTGGCCCAGGGCCAGGGCTTTTACAGCAATAGTTCTTGAAGACAATGTAGTCCTGTGCCCATCTAAACAGAGCTGGAAGTTCATTTTTTTTTAACATACTGCGTAGTAAGAAATATAGAAACCAACAATCTGTAGTTTTTTATAAGCACATCCTTTTAAAGTGACTCAGCTTAATTCCCCTCAATTTTTAAACCAGGAGATTTACCCTGGATACAGCACGTGATGACTGGGACAGAGCACCCCTAGAGAGATGCTATCAGGGCTGGCAGGCCCTTGAAGACATACCTGCCAGTAAGAGCTCAGAAGACCTTGGCATTGGCTATAGGGGGAGGGAGCACCCTGGATTGTCTAAGGCAGCCCTCCCTCACCCCAATCCTCCTGCATAGTGCTGGTGGACTCCAGGTCAGAAAGGAGCCCTGCTGGAGTAAGGGAGGATGTCACATTCAGCACAGAGACTTCAACGGGGCAAGCATTCCCCTCTCGTGGATGCTTAGGCCCCAATCTCTACCTGATGTAACAGGGAGAACTAGCTGTGAGCAGAGGTGGGCAGGATTACACAGCCCAAGAGGAGTGATGAGCCACCAGCTGGGTTTATTCCTGAGCAGCGACTAAGGGAGTCAAAGCCTTTGTTTGGTTTAGTGGGGCGCAGCGGAGCCTCAGTTCCACTCCAGGACCCAGCAGTGAGGAGAGAGTTAAGCACCCTGGGCTTGGGCGATAGTGCTAGGAGTTCACCTGGGCCTGCCTTTTTGCCCGTGGTGACGGTGACAGCGGAGGCGGTGGTGAAGCCAGACTGGGTGTCAGAGAGGCAGGGTTTTCTGTTTTGTCGCTCCTGCATGGGAAAAGAGACAGGGGAGGGGCAGACTGCCATTATCAAAGTCAGAGGGAAGCCAGCCACGTTGTCTGCACCGCGCTCTGTAACAAAATACTTTGACCCAGAGTAGGGGAGTTCTCTGGATAAGCTCTCCTGGTGGCCACTAGGGTCAGGCTGGCTTGCCCTGTGTCTGGCCCATTTTAAAAGTGGGCCATTCCAGGAAGCAGACTGTTTGTCTCTCAGATTTTCACTGCTAGGTCTGCAACTTCTCTCTAAAGTTAGAGCAAGGGTCAGAGGTGGATACTTACTGCCCCATGGTACCAGGTTTAGACTCGAGTACAAACAGATATACGAAAAGACACGACATAGACAGAACAATCAGACAGCCAGTAACAAATGCACAGCGCGACTTTGGTGACAAACCGAAAGTAAAAATTCAGACAGTGAAGTGACAGCTTCACCCTACAGACGCACGAATCCCTCCCTCGGATTCACGCTGAGCCCAAACAAAAATCGGGCTCTCCAGATCCCCTGGGGCATCCCCCGGGGTGGCAAGGGAAGAGTCCTGGGCTTGTCAGCCCCTCCTCAAGGCCGCCTCGAAAACAGAATGGCAACCGGCAGCCAAGCTGGTTTAAGACAAAACAAACGGAGAACAGATAATTAGACAGACAAGGACAAACAGATGCTGGCCAGCTTAGCTTACCTCCCGGTGGGCGGTTGGTCTGGGCACAGGTCACCAAATCCAGGACGAGCCCCCAAATGTAAGATTCCCAGTTAGAGTGTTTTCCCTTCGGCGACCACGACGCCCAAGAACCAAGACTAGTCCACACTGGATGCAAAAGCAAGAGGTAGTTTATTCACACAGGCACCTGGGACGCAACAGCCTTCGGGTGACTGCTGCGTGCCAGGCTGAATTTCGGGGCTGATTATATAGCAAGAAGCATGTTTACAGAAGCAGATGCATTCTCAGTGGTTATTTCAGATAAAACGATGGGGTTAGGTTAGGGGCAGGTCAGAGAAATATATTTCAGATAGGGTCAGGTTAGAGGTAGGTCAGGGAAATATATTTCAGATAGGGTCAGGTTAGGGGCATGTCAGGGAAATATATTAGCCTATTGGCGAAGGCTGACCTCTAAGTATCTGACTATAGGTATCCTGTTTTCTCATCATCAGGACCCATCTAGTCTCAGGGTGATTGTGCTGGTCTGGGAACAGCTTGACCTGGCTGCAATGGAGATTCCAGATGGGCGGGAGTCTTCTCAGTGGAAAGACAGTGCTGGCTGGTGGTGTGAGGTTATACATGACTTTACAGTAGGGGTTTTATGGGATTAAAATTGACAGTCTTGTCCTTCACAGGCTGCACAGGAAACCTTCTTTGGTCTTAACAAGGTTCAGAGAGCCATCAGACACAGTGAGGTAGAAAATGGACCACCTCCTGGGGATTCTCAATGGAGCCCTAGCACCTTGTTGTAAAGCAGAGAGGTGGAGGGAGGGCACCTACGTGGTGGGCACAGAGAAGCTGGGATGCCCAAAGTGGCATTTGCACAACATTGGGTTGTGCCATGTCAGTCAGTCAAGCTGATGTCCTCCTGCAGAGAAGAGGAGAGATCCTGCTGGGTGGTGCAGTGGTGGCACATTCCTTTAATATCAGCACTTGGGAGTTCCAGAACTAATTCCAAGGCTACAGCTTAGAGTCTGGTTTCCTGTGCTCACTGCCCCATGACGATTTGGATTTGCATGCTCTTAAGACCTACCCCAATTTAATAGTGCCATTGCCCTATCATAAAGGATGACAGGGCATATACACACATGCTTGATATCACACACATGCACTGCCTGTGTGGCTGCCTGCCTCTGTGAACACTGTGAGAGTGCCTGGTTGGTACTTTCAGAAGACAGAAGATGGGGGGGGGGTGTTTCTGCTGAGTTAGAGTTATGGATGTCTGCAAGCTCTTTCTTGGCTGCTGTGAGGATGGTGGGAGAGTAACTCACCAAAGACAAAGACATGCCAGACAGGAGTTTTTGGTAGAAAACTGAACTGAGTGGAGTAGAAACAATTTTAGTGTTTTTAGAGTTATGTTTGAGGAACCTTCCACTTAAATGAAAGAGAACCAAATCCTTTCAAATGTCCACATGTTCTCTGAGGGGGATGAATTGATGACAGAAAAGAAAAGAAGATAATAGGGTTTTAGTTGTTCCAAAATCTGCAGGGATAAAATTTCCTCTTATATGGTGTACTGGAGAATAGCAAGAGTTCCTGTTGCATTATGTCAAGTTTGTCTCACTTGAGGTTGGATGGTGTCAGCTATAAGATTTTCATCTTTTATGGTCATGTGAGAGTCTAGCTTTTTTAAAAATTTGATAGAGGGACACATGTTCCCTCTAGTTCTATTAGTTGTACAGCTTTGACTGTGAAAACAGGTTGTATTTCATCAAAGAATTTCTCTGCATTGTATATTTCACCTTTGATTGCTATTAAGTGACATCTAGTTGGTTCATGGTGTTACATGAGCACTTTCCTAATTCTCTTGTGTCTTGTGTCCTGTTTTGTTTCCTAGGCAGGGTTTCTCTATGTAACAGCCTTGGAGCTTGCTTGGTAGATGAGGCAGGCCTTGAACTCACTGATATCCTCATTCCTCAGCATCCCAAGTGCAAGGTTTACAAGTATTATGTCACCACTGCTAGGCTTTTCCTAGTTCTTTTTCTTGTTGGTGGTAGTGTGTTTTTTGTTGTTGTTGTTGTTTTTTGAGACAGGGTAAAATTACCTGGTGTGAGTGAAAAGAAGACACAGAATGCCAACAAACCTGCTTAGGAGATTATTAGAGGGCAGTGTACACAGGCCTGGAGATCGAGGTGCAGACAGAGAGCATGGTGCATCCAGCTTTTAAAAACTGCCTTGCACACACGCACAGGTGGTTGGAAGGACTAAGTCACACTGATGATGCAGGTGATGGATGACTCACACATGTGCGCAAGGGTTTAGCTGAGTCATATGTGGATGTAACCACACAAGTGCGCATATGGGTCACACACAGGGCCCTTTTTACCTAAGGGCCTGCCCTCACATGCCTGCCTTTAGAACATGGAAGTGCAGTCTTATCCATGGCTGAATAATTACATTCCACCCTTTTGTTTATTACAAAAATTTGGGGAGTTTGTGGAGTCTTAATGAATGAGAATGGGGTGCCATAAGGTCTCTCGTGACTGCTTCATGCTGACTTTGTGGGGGTTGAGGAATTTAGATGCTTGACCATGTCCTGGGGTGGCTGATTGCTGTTCTATTTTTTGGGCTCTGAAGAACTGGCTGGCTGACAGCTTGGACCTCACAATATGCTGGAAAGGC